CTAATTTTGCTATCAAAATGTTTGTTTTCATGTGGACTTCAAATTTATACTTAACAAAAATTAAAATTCTCTGAGCAGCATTTTTATTAATAAAAAGTACGCAAAAATATTTATAAAATATTAAATAATACTAATTAAGATAGCCTAACCCTAACGAAGATTTATTTTTGTGCATTTCATGAATATTATATTATAGAAGTAACGCATTCTTAGATACATTTTTTACTAATTTCTTTAAATAAGGTATACTCAAAGCTATAGGAGCACTAAAATTATTAATAATAGAATGGAATCCATTAAAAAAAATATTAATTTTGGGTAATATACTTTTTTTATATTTTAAAAATCGAATTGAATTGAATTGATATTATAATAATGTTATACAATTGTTTTGATTATATTTCTATATTTTTTTCGTGGTAAGTTGGATTATTGATCAAAATTTTTAATTAGAAAACTAAAACTTATGTCCAATGAAATATGACATAATATAGCAAAATTTAAAAATTTGATTTTTTTTTCGTTTACCATATTTATTAGGTATACATATTACATATTATTATATATTACATATACATTCTTATACATATCGGCGTATTATTTAAGTACCTATATATAAATATTAAATTACCTATATAAATAAACTGTGCAATCACACAGTCATACGGGTACCTGTTACTTATTAATATTACAATACTAAATAGTAACTACTAATTAGTGATTATCTATACTTGCAAGTTGCAGATCCATGTTGTATATACAGTTTTCACATCATAGTTTTACTGCATCAAAAGGAAACAAATAATACAAGGATAAAACAAAAGATGGTGAACATAATATTATATGGATTTTATGGAAACTAGTGAGTGGTGACTACAACTATAGCTATTTGTCTATTTATTATTATTATTATATTTATGCACCTCAAAAAGTAGTGTGATGTCTATGCCGTGTTGATTAAATATTTTATGGATGGGTAAAGTTCGAAAAAATGCAGGTGTCTATACCTATATTATTTTTAAAATAAAAACTTATCAAATTTTAACAATAGCCAAAGAATTACAGGTTACAGAAACTCCCCAGCAATATTAATAAATAAATAATACGTTAGGGCCTTAGAGCCTAGAGAGGGCTCGGCACGAGTCATGACCCTGCACGGTTGCACCCGCATATATAGGTAATATATACTTGTAAACTTATTACCCATATATCTGTTCTTAAATATGGGAGGGATTAAGTACTCCTCTTTTTTGTAAAAATATTTTAATGTGTCCTTTCTATACTATAATTATATCCTTATCAATAACTAATAAGATATTTAAATCTATAATTATTTTTTCTTACACTACTGCGTGCCGCTTCAAATTTTTTCCAATCCAAGTTCTACCCATAAACCTATATCACATAAATTCGATATGCTTATATATTATGATATTCCTAGGCAAATATAAATACTAATAATATCATAATATATAATAATATCATGTCCGAGTGGTACGAACATATACTCGGACGTTTGGCCGTCGAAAATCGAAATAGATTCGCGTGGCAAAAGGCCGTAAAACCCGAGTGATGCCAGTGATGGCCAGTTTACAGCGGTACATCTATTGTATAATAAACGCGCGTTTGATGTGCGCGCGTCAGTCGATAAAAGTTTGAGCAAAGGTCCGCGAGGTTGCGCCCTCACTGCGTGAGGGTGAATACACCCCCAAGAGGAAAAGTTACGCACACGCATATAATACGCGGTGCATATAGGGGTTGGGAATATATACTCTCTGACCGTCATCGGCACAACGGCGTCCATTCATATTATCCCGCAGTCGTGATGTAGCGTTCGTGTGTGCTGTCGATATGTCCATAATAATATAAGCATCGCTTTTATTTTTTACTTTTCTATTTTTTTATTACTTGTGTAAAATAATAAATAATAATTATATACGTATACATGTATGATAGGAACTGCAGTAGATCACCCATGTGCTTTACTCACCCCATCGCCGATTATATATTATTATACACGTTATCGAAATGTGTCTAAAAAATATGCATAATAATCTATTGTATTATGACGTATGAAACGAGAAGACTAATGTTTTAGTGCAATATCTAGGTTTACACAAATAATAGCTCATATTTCCTTCAACCATAGATTAAGTTTATATAATATTAAATGAAATGTTAAATATATGTAGTATACCTATTTTATATCCATAAAACTGTGAGTATCATATATTAATATTAAATTCACAATGAATCGTCAATAATAATGTATATGCCTATTATAAATCATAAATTATAATATAATTCCGCTGATCTTAATATTATATACCTATAACGTAGTTTTTTCCTTAAAGTGAAACCGCGCGAAAATCGATCGATTTGAATTTTGAACTATATATAAAAGTAAGTTGATATTAGAATTTAAAGATTTATCAAATATTTTGTAATATAAATATAAATTGTTTAAATATCTGTACAATATTGTATTTATTTTATGAATGACCAWCATTTTTTTTATTGTATTTCAGAACGACGTTTTATTAATTTTCATAAGAAATGTTTGATAAATTGTGAAAAGAAAAACATGATTGATCCTGGAAACACATTCCTCAACACGTTTTATATTACGTTTTGTCTAA